TCCCATGGTTGTTCCTCTAGATTCAATTAAAACGTTTGACCTTACTGAGTTAATTCTAATTCAAGTAAAAGTGTGGCTGCTTCGGTAACCCTTTCTCTAATGTAGATTCTTTCAAGTCTTTGACTGTCTACAAAGTAACAGGCTTGTAATATAATTATATATACTTTATAAATGCATTTCTTCCGGACGAATTCTCCCGAAAATGTGCCCCTACCCCTCTTCACAAACCTTGCATTGGTGTGCCATTAATAAGTAGAATGCTGCTTTACAATAGCATTTTACTGTTAAGACTGATTCCAGCTGGTTTATCAGCACAGTAGCGCGAAACTCGTTCATCACGTAACTCGAACACGTAATTATCTAAACAACTTTATTTGGGCGTCGGTTAATTGAGTAGCTATAGAGGGGATTTTTGATAGATGTTCTGACCAAAGCGGAGACAGCTTCTGTCAAATTTCTGCCAACTTGAAACTTTAAACCTCCAATGGTTCGGTACAGTTTAAAACCTAAACAGAAGCTTTGTCATTCAGACGCCTTTTTTCCTTGTTTTGATTTCCTGAATCACCCGCTTGGAAGGATTTAGGTCTCTCGTAATTTTAAAGTTATTTCGCTGTCAGGTTTTGCTGACACCGATCTTTCCTTGATCGGCCTTTTAAATCAGAATTCCATTCAACTAAAGTAGGAATTCAGTGAATTACTTTGAAAGAGAAAACTTCTCTTAGCCTCTATAAATCATAGAATTTCGAAACGTCGATCACTAAACGATCAATAGCATATATCTTTGATTAAGGAACACTGGGATTAGCAAATATTTTTTCGTGTTTAAAGACTTTCGCCTTCTTTTACATCCGTATGTTTCCAGCATTTGAAAAGATTGATCATTATTTTGCTGTACTCACGACTTACTGTGCGGTCAGAGTTTGTGAATTCAAACAAAGCAACCATAAACCAAAAACGTGATTATTACCTAAACTGACCTCACAGCCTTGTATTCAATGCTCTCTCGAATAAAGTTGGTCGAACATAAAAAACACCCCTGAATGAAAATCGGTGGGGTACAGTATAATAAAATCTTAAAAAGCAACTGAAAATACCTCCTTGTCGACCATACCTTTTTGGCTTCAAGTATCCGCCATGTTTCTTTTCACAACCTCTTTCTATCAATATATTAACGCGATCCCTAGGGTGAGATAATAACCCGCTCATCCGCAACAACAAACAGGTTTTTAGTGACGTCACAACACTTTAGCTTTCTGGTAAGTCCTTGCGTTTTTTAAGTTGAAAGAGTCTTTGAGAAGCTAATCAAGAATTTTGTGAGTTCTCCTTGACTGAATCCGACAAGAAATGATAATCGTTGCGTTTTAGGAATGGCTAAGCGGTCCTTTTCACTCCAAGGGAAGGAAAATAACAGGTGGAGAGAGGTGGCTTATTGTCAAAAAATAATATGTAGGGGATGGGAGAACATTTTGCGTTTCGACAAGATGTCGCCATTATATCACGCGGTACCGAGTAAACTTCAAACGGTTGATTACATTCTTAGAAGGACCTAAACGGTATCAAGGAATGATCGGGAGTTTTTGTTTCTCGTTATTTATAGATTTATGGATTTATTTGCTCCTAGCTAATAAAGCATTTGACTCGGGTAGAACCAGTTAAACCTTCTTGCACCTTTCAGTCGAACGTTATATAAGAGACAACCGGGGGCTGGCGCGAAACAGGCGAATCCCTGAATTCAGTACAAATGCTTGCAGGATACGAATTATGTTCCCGTCAAATAGCAGTTTTCGCGTATTTTGAATAATCGCAAACCTCAGTTGCAGTCTTATGATAGCTCCCTATTCACCCAAAGAATATCAGTTAAATCAAAAAAGTAATCAAAATCAGTTACAACATAAAAAAACACTTACCACTGGACTGGCGGCTTGATAAAACAAGCTCACGCAAGTATTTATATTACTAAACGTATCCAGAGAGTCCGAGTTTGACACTGGGGCGGATTTTCCAACCAAAGTTGATAGTCACCTCTGAGGCAGGGTGCTGCCTTTTGACATGTAATTGAAAAAAAAATTTATTACTTTAGAACCAAAGTCTTGCTTTAAATATATCTCCAGAAATAATTTAACAGTTCCGTCAACTTTTTCGTCCCTTATCATTTTACCTAGATAAGTGATGATATGATAGCCATTTACAATCCAGTGGGTTGAAAAAGGCACTTCGAGTGTAAAGTGTCTCGCCCGAGGACGCGACATAATTACCCGGCCGGAAATCTACTCCAAATTATTACGTCACTGAGTCTCTGATTTCCGCCTTGAAGCTTGATCATCTTGTTCTTCTTTATTTGGCGCAGTTATTTTCGCGTGCATAGAGAAAACATTTCCACTTCCCTAAATAACTATCACTTATATGCAGGGTTTTGATACACAAAACATTTAAATAAGTCTTTCTGCCAATTTTAAAGTGCGCTCGTCAAACCAACCGTTGCATTTGCTTGTTGAACCATAGAGCATATAATTGAGTTGTCAACTCGCGCCACTAGCACAGAACAATGGATAACAGGTAAACTACCTTTTTACCAAATCCGAAAACTGCGTAGGCCGAGCAAGTCAACGGTTCCATAACTTTTTGCAGGAAATAATTTTGAAATTTGGTTCATTGATTCATAGTGATACACCAGACGACGGAAATTTTGTAAACACAGAACAAATTATCCTCTCATTCTTAGAGAAATATGAGGGAGTTTTTCTGAGAAGAAAGGATTTAACGGCTCTTGCTAGGTAAGCCCGAGGAAACAACTATACGATGATTGACGTTGTGTTTTCTGAGCATAACTATCACGACCGATCACGGATTGAAATTTCAGCCACTTAGATTAGTATCACTGCTTTCCCATTGTGATATTAATTCTTTTTATATTTTCAAGGCGATCGCATTTCGTCTGAAGGTAACTTCCCTTGAGACATCCAAACAAGACACCGGCTTTGTCGAGCAAAACCTACAGGATTAGGGAAGAATTTGTGCGACACTTTTCAGTTTGAAGATTCTTCTGGTAGAATTAAGGATCACACCAAATAAAAACCGAAAAACCAAAGAAAAAATCCTAAAAGCCTACCAGGAATAAAGGAGATATTAGGAAGAACGTAGCAACGGCTTAAATTTTCGCGCGCGATTTATGTACAACAAGACATGACCTAATCGACAGGTACAATTTGTTAAGTGCGGTCATAAGAAAACAAAAGTGTTCGTAGTTTGCAGTCTTGGAGTCCCTCCTGTTATAAGGATGAATGATGCCTCCGACTTTATTTACAGATTCTTGTGCCTACCGTTCCATTGTTAATCCTCTTGTGGTTAAGTCAGAAAATAGCGTCAAAGCTGCATTAGTCGTGCAACTCCAAATCATTTCGCGATGTTGGTGAGGAATTGTCTTCGGCTGTAACATCTCTCATAGTAATATTTTCCACTGAACTAGAACTGACCAAAATACTGTGTTATTGATGTTGTTTTATTGATGTTAATCATAAACAGGAAATGAAGAATTAAACAGATTGCAGAGTGTTGACTGGACTCTCAAGACAGAGACATATCAAGTTTCCGAATGTTTTGGTTAACTTTAGCACTGGTGGCTTTCTGGTGTCACTCCACCAAAGGTAAACTATTTCATGAATAAAGGCTGATAGTTTCGAAAGAAACTGTTTGGGGCTGCATCGGTGGGGGTAACCACTGAACTTATTTCCAGCTATCTAGACAAAATTATGGCTCCCATCGTCAAAACTTTACCATCATATATTAAAGACAGTCAACACGCTCTTCAAATTTTTCGAGACTTTAATTTCCCTGGTCAAAACAAACTTCTTTTCACCATGGATATTACGTCTCTTTACACTGTCATTCCTAATGGCGAAGGCCTTCTGGCCCTTAAACATTTTTTTGATCAACATACTGATAAGGAACCTAAATCTGAAACACTACTACGCTTAGCCGAACTAGTGCTCACACTCAATTGTTTTTCATTCGGAAACAACTTCTTCAAACAAACCAATGGTGTAGCCATGGGCACCAAAATGGGACCTAGCTATGCCAATCTTTTTGTAGGTTTTGTCGAACATCAATTTTTCAGCCAATACAACGGGTCCAAACCTGAACTCTACGGTCGCTACATCGACGACTGTATCGGCGCTACCTCCTCTACCAGAGAGGAGCTCACTCAATTCATAACCGCAGTCAATTCTTTTCACCCGGCTCTGAAATATACCTGGGAAATTTCTGACAATTCTTT